CTCATGCTAATCAGAGAACCGGGGTTATATCCATAACCTTAAGTTTTATTTGAACACAAAACAAACTTGGGCAAGTAAAACACAGGCTGTCACGGCATTGCACACAGACATGCCTGCAGAGAGGGTACAGTAAAAATATACAGCTGTGGAGTGAATCAGACGATCCTTGGTCTTTTTTGCTTTCCATCTCAGTCTTGTCTCGCCGTCTCTTTCCAGATAACCTTTTCTTCAAACATGGTTTCGCTCCCTTGTCTGAGCCTTCCACTAAAAGCTAGGATTGGTGGTTTCTCATGCTCGCTGTCACAGATTGAAGTGTCCTAATGAGAGAGAGATTGTGATTTTATTAAAGAGTTTCCAGGATCTGAAATTCCAAATTCCATCTGTGCTTTAGATTTCTTCCCCTCCTTATAGTCTTTCTTTGATAAGTCTGCTTAATATACAATCAAAAACCATAGTGGTGAAATTAAGATGTAAAATTCTTAAATCTTAAGTCCGGCATCTTATAAAGGCTTGTTAGCCTTTGGCTTGGTTGGAGAAAGACAAGTTAGATTTATCTGCTGTTCATGTTCAAATGAACAGCAGCTTTAAAAGCTTTAGGACTTTGTGACTCAAATATTAATTTGGTGGCTAATGTTACTTTTATGCATACCAGAGCTACTGATGTCTTTATTCTAATAATAATACGCAATTATGCAACATTGCTAGTTTAACATCAGACTTTTACTGTTTGCATGTGTGTGGATGAAAAGAAATATTCTGAATGGCCAAAGCTGCCAAATGATTTTGTTCTTTAGATGTGATAGGGACATGCCCCTCAGGTTTAATGAACAGCAGAGGTGAGTCACCAACAGAGGGGCACCTCTCCTGTTGAGCAAACAACGCTTATTTTGCAGCATTGCAGTATTTTGATCACTTCTGTTTCTTACAGTAAACGTGCTTTGGTGTTTATTTGGTGTTTTGTCAATTAGATAAATCATTAAATAAATGTTTATGTCTAAGATGACAGGGCATTCTTAAAATTTTCTTTCTCTATATACATTATGTACATCAAATGTTTTTTTTTTATTTGAGACAATCAGAAGATTTGTATTTTCTAATCCAAAATGTCTGACAGATATGATAAGTTATCAGAGGTGATAAGTACAAATGGGCAGTCTTTATAATATTGATTAGAAGCTGATTCATAAGATCAGCTCTTGTGCAGTGTGTCCAGAGGACTATTTAGTTAGAACATAGATATTGTGATTAAATTCCCAGATTATGGTTGAAATCCTGCCTGCAGTATTTTCCTTTTGTAATTCACTCATATACATTCTGTAGATAAATACTGACAATAGCATACAGTAGATCTAGACATATACATAGAGAAATGGAGAGCTGTTAGCGATATCTGTTTGCGCACATATGAATGTGATTTCAAGTGGTTTTTTGTAGATCCATGAATAGAAATGTAATTTGTGGTGTAGGAGATAAGAACAGAGTGTTTAAATTCCCATCACAAAAGCACAGGCGCAGTGCTGTGAACAGCTTTCACATATTACTATGGGATAAGCACATCAGGTAAGAAATACATTTAGACTTGTTTAATTTTGCCATCCCACTTCTTCCCTGTGTTTATTTGGCTTGAGCAGCCAACAGTCTGGCATATTCCATATGCAATAAGTACACAACATTTATCATCAAGAAAAGTTCCACATATAGACTAAATCAATCAATAATGACTCATTAGTAAATGAATGAAAGTAATGTTTTTGGCAGTTTCCCTAATGTCCCAGACTCAAAACACATTTGGAACTTATTTGAAAAAACAAAAAATGCAGTTTTTTCATTCTTTTTTACTAAATTTACGACTGAAGTTGACAGCCTTTGAGACAGCTGCTCAAAATGCTGGAACTGCTGCCCTTTGGGTTTAACATCCATCAGTGCTGCTGAAATCTTTAAGCAGCAGCTAAAAGCTTATATTTTCTGATTGTATTTATTGTCTTATGTTTAGTATGCGTATGTTTCTTTGACATTTCTCAACACCTTGCCATCTTGTTTAAATTGAAGCGTTGAAAAGGGACTATTGTTGCCAAAAAGGGTATATAGATAACTTTAATACAGTGAGATATTCCCTCTTGCCCTTGC